TTTTTTTTTTTTTTTTTGGTACCGGGGATAGAATTCGGGTCCTTGTGCTTGCAAGGCAGGCCACCGAACCACTGAGCTAAATCCCCGGCCCCATAAAACCTAATCTCTTTTCCCCTGGACTTTCTTGAATTCTGTTTTTCCTGAATTTAAGGTGTATTTTTCTCAGTGTTTTTAGTCTTCTCCTGTTATACCAGACGCTTCCTCCTTGCTGTCTGAAATTAGGCCTAAAATAGTAGTTGCTTTTTTTTTCTAACAAAAAAGAAAAACGTCTGTAAGATAAATTAAGGATCTGTGAGATGCCTGACATACAATCAAGTGCAGTAAGAAAAAAATAAATTTGTGAAGAACCAAAGTTTTATGACACTTATATTTATTTTTTATGTTCCAATCTTATTTCTGAAAGAATTTAAAGTTTACACACTACTTTATCTTGCTTATGTGCTAGTTTTGTCATATAGTTTAGGGAGAACTCTTTAGTTGTTACACAGCTGGCTAAGTAAGTTGATATTCTCACAAAGTTATCACTTAAAGATAACCCTTACCATCCAATAAATATTCTGTATGGTTCTCTGCCACTGAGTTTCCTACATTTATCATTTACAACTTCAATTCCATAACTTTTTAACATATAATTAAATCCTCTGCTTCTTATATATTTTACCCCTGTTTCTAAATCTTCAGTGTTAATCTCATTCATAAATTCTTGATAGCTCCTGCAATTCATATGGTCTTCTTGCATCGTTGCTTTGAGTTTATTTGTGTCCATACCTGGTGCACAGCTAAGCAGGGTTGCTCCTCATGTCCAGCTACATTTTCCCAGTACAGTTCTGGAGACTAAAGGGTAGTGAGTCTCTGTCACCCTTGCAACACGCCACACTGCTGGATGTTGACAGATCTGCTGTCCTGTTACAGCCATATCAAACTGAAACTTTTAAGCACCCTCAGATTATGTCTGCCAGTTTTCTTCAAACACATTTACAACACATCCTGTTAAAGAATCCTGTTAAATAATCTCACAGCAGAATCCTACAGGGTTCCAGTATTTGGCAGAGCTAGGGCCAATGGGCAAGAGCTTAGGCTGTTAGAGAAGGAAAGTCTCAGTTTAACATAAGAAAGAGAATCACAGTCTAGGTTGTATTACAGCCACCACCGAAGACATCAGAGGGGAAGGCTAGTGTCTTAACAAGGGTCCATTCAGAGCAGACTCTGAGACAAAGATTCGAAAGAAGGGATTGTGTTTGAGAGTGCAGGTAGCACTAGTAAGAATGTTTTTAAAAGTAAGGAATGACACACAGAAGGGAAGGCAATCAATGAAGTGGCAGAATCAGAGAGTTGGAGAACCTAGACAACTACTCAGAGTCACCGGTTGCATCATTCTAAAGAAAATTATATCCTCAGCACCTCCTGCCAACCTGGAGCTGATTTTTGCCTTTTCCCAGTTCTGGGAGGAAGAGTTCTCAGAAATGCAAATGTAGATCTTAGAAACAGAGTACCCTGAGCACATGAAAAGTCCCTGAAATTATGTGTGAATGAGTAGGTACTGTCCAGGTAGGCTATCAAGAAACTTGGGACTTTATGTGCTTTAGAAGTGCCAAGCCTCTGTATCTATAATAAAGACATACTCCTTTGCTATATCACCTTGGACTAAGAGGCACATATTAGGAACACAAATGCAGAGCTAGCTTTCAAAAATGTGCTTTGTCTATACCCTTGTCTTCCCAGCATTGCTAACCAGAATTTATCCCAGCCCCTCCTTTCTGTGTTCTTCTCATGGTGTGCCTTTCTACTTCCTCCTCTGTCATTTAACCTCTAATTTTTGTCCTGTAACACTTGGGATCGCTGGATTAATCCTTAATCTTTATTTAGCCATCAATACTCTCTCCTTACAACCTCTTTGGTGACAACCACACTCACACCTTTGCTTCCAAGAATTCTTTTGGATGGGCTCTCAGTTTCTGCCTTCCATTGCCAGGGGCTCTAAATATCACCGTTACTCACATATTAAGCCTAAGACTAATTCACAGTCATCCAGCCAGGAACTGGATGAGACACAGAGGCAAAGAGAGACCCAATGCCAGGCACACCCTAGGTTTCTGGGCCTCTTCTCAGCACACGGGAGAAACAGGAAAACATGCACCTACACATGACGGTACACTCTTGTTAATGGGGACTGCGGATATTTAAAACCACGCATCCACTAATAAATGCATTCGAATTGTCAAACCTATCATATTGTTATTTTGCACTAAATTTTCTCTAAAATCTCCAGATGGAGGCAGATCATACTCCACTTGCCTACGAGGATATCCACAATCTCAGGAACAGAGCCCATTGTATAATAGATCTTCAATAATAGCTGATAAATAACTGAATAAAAGAAAACACCAATACATTACTGGATGTCCACGTGTATTTTGTTTCTATCCATGGTGCCCGGACACTTGCTGTGGAAAGATACTGTGTTTCTTCCTATGTACCCTCCACAGGTCAAGGATGATCCTGGTTCTGCACATTACTAAGACCTGCACAGAAGTAATTCCAAGATAAACTCATAAAATAAGTTCATTAAAAACTAAAAAGGAAAACTCAATTCCCTGCCACATAACAGTGCCACATAACCGATAGCATAACGGTGTGCCATCAGATTATCCCTGTACTGAGTTATATAAGTCTACTAGAGTATACCTTGATTTTTTATTTAGATTGACTTCTGGAAACCAGACTCCATCACACAAGTCAAACTTCACAGTACCGTTGACTTCCATGTTAAAGCAGAAGATGTTGGCACTGTGGAAGACTTCCTGGAGCAGAATGATTTATATTATGAGTAAGTTTATGATTTGTAGCCATTAATTCATGCTTTTATCTGAGCCTTTGAATAACCCTGTGAAGGTAAAAATGAGACCAAAACCAGACTTTCCCCATGGCCTCACTAAGAGGTAATAACAGTGCTAGTTTTGGATTACTTAAGATTTCAGTCTTGGTAAATTTTATGTTTGATTATTGCTCTATTGAAAATTGTTTTGATTCTTGAAGCTCAACTCTTCAGCTGGAAATTTGATCTGTAACTACCATGGAAGAAGCAGGCTAAACTGATGAACATTCTATTATCAGCTATACGTATGTTTTTGTTTTGTTTTACTTTATTTCATTTTGTTCATGGTACTGATGATTGAATCCTGGACCTTTGCACTGAGCTAAATATCCAGGTGTGTGTGTGTGTGTGTGTGTGTGTGTGTGTGTGTGTGTGTGTGTGTGTGTGATTTTGAAACAGTATCTTGCAAAGTCACGAAGTTGGCCAGGCTGCACTTGAATCTTCAATCCTTCCTAGGCCTTGCACAGTGCTGAGATTACAGTTACCTGCCACCACACCTGGTTTAGACAGTTTTAATTCCAAATATTATCAAATGTCCTTTCTGGGTAATCAGTCTGACCATTTGTGAGTCAAGAGGGCTCTTTCGGCCCCCTTAGTTTAAAAACAAGATTACAGACGGCCTGAGTGGCTTATCTGTCGTTTTCCCAAGATCCCACCACTATCTGTTCTGGTAAGAGAAAAGGTAGAGAGAAGGACCCGGTTCCCTGAAGATCTACAGTAGAGTTGACCAAACTGATCACTGATGTCTGCTCTCCCCAAATCCACACCAGTCCAGCTAGGTCTTTCAAGATGACAATGCCTTCTTAAGAAGAGACAGCTGTCAATCATTGAGCCCACAAATATATGTTTTGTGTCTACATGTATCAAATACTAAAAAGGCTACACATGCACCTCCTGTAGGAAAAGAGAGGCTTTCCATAGGAAATTTCAGTAGCATATAACAGATGTTAGGAAGGGCAGAGAAACAAAGATGGAAGGGAACAACCTAGTCCAGCAATCAAGGAAGGCTGCCTTGTCAAATGAAACTTCAGCTGAAAACTGAACAATGAGTAGGGCTTAGCCAGACAAAGACAAGGAAAAACCTCATCTACACAGAGACTGGACCATTGGCTATGACTTAGAGGTGGTAGAAAACCAGGAGGCATTTGCAGAAAGGAAAAGAAGAAATAAATCTTCAGTACAAAGCAGAGCTCTTCCTCCAAAAGTGAACCAGGGAGGAGCAAAGAGAAATTCTTACACTTCAGTTCCGAGTGTTCAAATGTTTATTCAGCAAACCCCGACCACATTCTCAGATCTTCAGGATGTTTTAAGAAACTATAACCTATGCAATTTTCACACTAGAAATTTTCTGTTTCTTTATATTATATCATATTTTAATTGTATATAATTATATATTTTAATAATATAGCAAAACAGTATTTGTACCAGGGAGGATGTGAGAACCAACACCCGTAGAATCTGTACCACCATCAGAAATGGTGTAGCATAGCACTTGAGTAAAGGCTTTGGAAAAAATGGACTGGACTCTGATGTCAGCACTGCAACTTCCTGGCTGTGAGACATTGGGTAACTTGCTTACCCTTTTTGAGCTTCAGTTTCCTTATCAAAAATGAAGATATAATTCTACTTTCAAAGGGCTGCTGTGGAAATGAAATAAAATAGTATGTGAGTTAGCGACAACTAGTATTACTGTCACTGAGAAAGATGCTATGGTCTACTACTATAAAGAGAGGGAAAATACATTACCCTTTTTTAAGGATCAACAAAACTGTTAAGTTCGACCCCATTATCATGCCTCATATAGCTTCAGTATCTGCTTCTGCCTAAGGGAAGTGTCAAAATGTAACCTTTAGAGTCAACTGTCTTTCAAAACCAAAACTATAACCTAGTAAGTTTCAAAATGGGATTAAGATTTATGTCTATGACATTTTGAGCTTCTGATTAGGCTGGAAAGAATTCAAAAATCCTAGCCTTTAGGAGCCTCAGTAACATTTTTAAAAGATGAGTTTTTTTTTTTTTTAACTTTTTAAGAAAAACAAAGATCCGCAACAATAGATTAATTCTAGCTACCTGAATGATGCCCCAATTCTACTCATACCACAAACTGAAAGAGCTTCCCGTCCCACATTACTTTCCATTTACTACATACTTCCGTTTTTAAATGGCAAACTTTTGCAAATTGAGGATGAATGTTATCTTACCTAAAACATAGGGTATTCCTTGAGGGCTAAGATCTTGTTAATTTTTGTTTCTCTGTTCACTGCTTACCACAATCATAGCATATAATTTTCTTAATATTAAATAATAATGTCCCTGGAAATCGTGTGAAAGCACACCAGCAATATCCTAGCTGGATTGCAAGCAGTCCCTATGCATCCCTTTATTGCTTCATATGGTACCTAATGTGTATTTAGATGGTTTCCTGCTGGCAAGGACTCGCAGTTGTGTTTGTATATAAATGCATGTGTGCACTCCACGTCACACTAAAATAGCTTTTCAGAGTTTTGATGGCTCCTACCCTCTTCAGCAAGACTTGTATCATTTGTCAGTTTTAGTCAAATCCTGAAATATTATGGAAAAGTTCAAAATATGTGCAAGTAGAAAACTGTAATTTTATATACCTGGGTTGCACCCTTAGATAGGGAAAGACTAAGAATTACGTGAATCTTGATTTACGATTAGAAGCTAAGTTAACAGAACCCATTGGTGGGCAGCTCTTTACAGAGTTTCTTGCTACAAATTCAGTAAGTTCATCTTTTTCCCTGTAGAATTCAGAGATATGCTAGTGGTTGCTAACAGCCCCTAAGGTAATTTCTCTGCACATTTCAAAGTCACACGGGAAAGTATCCTCGGGTGGCAATGGGCACATAATCCAGGAACTTAAATGTTCTGTTTTTCAGAATCTGAAGGAGCGATAAAACTGAATCATCTCTTCCCTCCCTTCTCAGACACTGTTACTTGCTTTTTTGGGAGTCGCGGTTACCTACTTTTCTTGCATATTTTAAAAAGGAGGAAGAGAAGTTGGATGGCACTATAAAAGGTGCATATAAAAGTAAAAAACAGTGTACATGCTTCTGTTTTTCAGAGCTGTAATGTGGTCCCTATTATATTAAGAGGCATTGTTTTAATCTTCTACAAGAGTAGCTCATGATTTAGTCATAATATTTTGTCATATAGCTATAGTAGTGCCGTGTTCTAAATCCAGTAAAATCAAATAATCATGAGGCTAGAAAGGATCATTTGAGGTTAGTCCCCTGTCTCCAGGCAGAAGTCAGCGCCACATTTTAACCTCATTTTGATGCTCTTTCACAAGTTACTAAAGAATACTTTTACTCTTAAGTGTCATCTTAAATTTAACTTTTTAAAATGCTTCTTTGTTCTGGCTCTTGATGCAAATGTTCAATATTTAGCACAGTAATAACTCTAACCAAATGTGTCTGCTTAGTAGAAATAGCCACAGATATAGCCTTAGACACAGATATCCCCTAAAAGTTTTAAGACTATGAATGCCTATTAGCAACTGATATCTTTGCTCTGAGCACCCACAAAGAAGCTATATGACCTAGATGCTATTTTGCTTGATCATTGACAAGGGGAAATCTAGTTAAAGTGAAAATATATGTTCTCTCTCTCTCTCCCCCGCTCCCTTCCTCCCTCTTTTCTTCTTTTGTCATTCTGTCAGAAAAGTTTGTATTTGTTAAGATGATATTTCAAATTGATGATAATGGAATAAATATAATTGTTTTCTTCCATTTGATATTTTTTTAAGTCTCCAGGTTTTTATTCTGCTTGTTTTGTTTTCTCTTTTGCATATTTTTAGGTTCTAGTTTCCCCTAAAAATTATTTTCCTAAACTTTCTCTATTCTAGGCTTCCATTTCCTACTTCTTTTCTTAGAGTACATAAAGGTGGTAAGTAGCTAAAAAGAAATTCATATACCTTGGAAGACATCTGCATAAATGACTAAGCCCTGTGCACTGAGTCACAGCACTGCATTTTAGAATTAAAACAACATTGAGTATCTATTAACCAAATATCCCCATTCTAAACTTATTAAATTAAAGCCCAAAGATCAAATGACTTTTCTAAGGCCAATTAATGAATTCAGTCAAACTATAACATTGATATTTTTATTCCTAATTTAGGATTCCTTCTACTTCCACCTTATTTCCTCACCATCTACTTTTCTTATAGAATATAATTATGACCCTTACCATAATCGTTGTCACTAACTATAACAAAAAGAATGATAGTCCCCCCAAGACATCTACATCTTAATCCCCAGTATGTCTGAATATGTTACATTACCTCATTAAGAGAAATTAAGGTAAAATAGATGGCTTAATATTCCTAACCAGTTGACTTAAGATAGGAAGACTATCGTGAGTGGACCGCATAGTCCAGTGTAGCCATGTAAGTCCTTAAAAGTCCTAAACGTCCTTAAAAGAAAGCAGAAGAGGAAGCCAGAATGGGCATGACAATTTGATTCACTTGCTATCGTTGAAGACGGAGGAAGAGGGCCACAGCCAGGAAGTGCAAAGAGCTTCCAGGAGCTGCAAAGGGCCTGAACAAACCAGATTCTCCCTGGAGCCCTCAGAAAGGAACACATTCTGTGTTAACAGCTTGCTTAAAGCCCAGGGAGACCATCATTGGACTTCTAACCTACCAAACTGTGAAATAACAAAGGCATATTGCCTTAAGCCTCTACGTTTGTAGTGATTTAAGAAACCATAGAAAATGAATACACTAACCAAATGTTGATGACTATCCAAAGGAAAATTTCTTTTGCATAGAATAAATTTTAAGGTCTGATTCTTTTTATTCTTTAATACAGTACTACCTTAAGAAGCTAAATTCTTAAGACAGTATTTGCCATTTGCAATGAAGCAGATACCATTTAGAATTAATTTATGGCATGTTTCCATAAACAGACACAGTTCATACCCAAGTTCAGCAAATGAAGGAACAACTAGGTGGGAGGTTCAGCGGAAGTCCCTGACAGACTTCATCAGCATGCCCTTCGGGCAGCAGAAGAAAAGCAGACTTTTGATGTGTGTCTACGGTTCTCTGTCTGTCAGATAAAACCATCTCAAGGCTTGACTGGGGATAATGGAACATTCTGCAAACTGGTCTCTGTCTGTAATATTCATAGGTTTGTGATCAAGGACATTAAAGCTCATAAAATTTTATTCCTTCCAAATCCACTTTGCATTCAGAGTAGCAAAGGGAAATGAACACACACACACATACACACACACACACACACACACACCTACCTACCTACTTACCTTCAGGCCTGCCTCTTTGCATAGCAACTTCCAACAGCATCATGCATGCGTTTATAATAGGCCAGCCTCAGAGATTTTCACTAATATTACCTTGATACCAAACTACTGTTATATTCCTCAAATTAGGCTAATATCCAAGTAGAAACTAGTTCTTTAAACTTAGTATTTTTAGCTCATTAATATTTCTGAATTTCCAGACTCAAAAAATGTTTTTCTCAAAACCTCTTAAAATTAACTGTCTCTGTTTCCCTGGTACTGAGTACATTTCTGGCACATGGGACTTACAGTGCTCAGATCTGGAAGGTCCTGAGAATCACAGACAAGTTTCAAGTACATACTGATATTCGGACACTCCACACCCTGACCCAGAATGCTCAGGTACCACGGGAAACCACTGCTGAGGTAGGGGACTAAATACACTCAAAAATGTGAAAAGAAGGCCAGCCTGGTGCACACCCTCCAGTGCCCTTCCGGTGACTTGTTCTTTTTGACCAGTAACAGAATCTCCCTTGTCCAGCTCCAATTAAAGAGCATCAGGAGCAGTCAAAGTCAACATGTGAATCTTTGGAGAATGCATGGTACTATCTACCAAGGCAGTGACTCTGACCTTTCACATGTGATGACTGGGGGGAAACATACTCACGTCCTTAGGAGCATGACTTTGCTTCATTGCAGGGTATTGATAGGCAACCTGAGAAGTATGATGGCAGCTCAGTTTGATAGCCACGGCCGTGCAACTGGACACAGTTATACGAAGTACAACAACTGGAAAACTGTATGTTGTGTACATGGTTTTGATAGATACTGCTTTGTGAATTGAAGCGTGAATATTCTATTAAACCACAAATGATTCCCTTTGGTAGATAGAGGACTGGACTCAACAAGTTGCTGCTGAGAATCCGGATCTCATTTCTCGCAGTGTCATCGGAACCACATTTGAAGGTCGCTCAATGCACCTCCTCAAGGTAATTACTTTTAATCATGACCTTGACGTGTCTGAAGGCTTTGAATCAATGAATTCTACTGCATTAACGTCTGTGTCACAGACAATGCACTTATCCTAAACACTGTTATAACTCTTTTCCTGCCTATACCCCTGAGGGAGCCAAGCAGATTCCCTGGCTTCTTTTATCATATGTGAAATTTTCAATCATTATTTTGATTTATTCAAAAGGAAAATGCAATAAAATAGGAGAAGTACTATAAATTTAACCACATTCCTGTAAGCAACACAAATGATCATCTACCTTGATGAAATTCTTCTCTCCCAGCTGTTGTTTGCAGATCCATTTGCTAAAGAGGTTCATAAACTTCACGTCTATCAGACAACATTACAAAGCGTATCAACACTTTGTTTCTGTCAGCCTCTGGTGCCATTTTTGTCATGTAATTCTAATGAAGGAAAGAAAATAAAGAAGTGGAGAGAAGGGAAAATTCTTCCAGGATTAGCAAGAATCATGATTACTTCTAATTACTCATCTAGTTGTCTTGGTCATATTACCTAATAATAGCAGCTGAAAATAACCTTCACGTGAGTACAATTATGCAGGGTAATCAAGCATCTCATAGAAATATGAGCTTGTCAAGCTTAATAAAAATAATAAACAGCCATGTAAGCTTTCAACTCAAACATTGCGAGTGTCTAGAGGCAAGAATATACTGTGCCAGTATTGTGCTTTAATTTAATCATAGGATATATCACTTGCTGCTGTCAGGTTTGACCTGTTGAGTCCAAATCACAAATGGGTAGTGAATGTTAACTCCTGAATGCCATGTAATGGGTCATGATTTCCCTTTTCCTTTTGCTCACTGTAGGTTGGCAAAGCTAAACCAAACAAGCCTGCTGTCTTCATAGACTGTGGTTTCCATGCGAGAGAGTGGATTTCTCCTGCTTTTTGCCAGTGGTTTGTGAGAGAGGTCAGTTTGTAGAGTAATTCTTAGCAAAAGGAAGTATAAAGTAGTTTTAATTTTAGTTAATTCCTTATAACTTATAGTAAGAGAAAATAATGCAGAAAAAAGTCATAATTCCAAGTTCTTATATTTGGAAATTAGTTTCAGTTTTTATCAGCACATTTTGTAAAGCAAGATTTTAAGTTTTAAAAATTGTATATATTTGAATTTCACTCACCTAAATCTTTACACCCACTTTTGGTAGACAGTTTAACATTAGTGTAGTATTAAATTACACTACACTAAATTAATGGTTAAATTACACTACTAAAAATTAACAGTTGTGGATAAACTACCAAGTGAAACATTATCTCCTAATAAACATTAAAAATAAAGTTTCTAGGGCCAGGGATTTAGCTCAGGGATTCTGGCACCTGCCTCACAAGCACAAGGACCCAAGATCAATCCCTGGTACCAAAAATAAAAATAAAAAATAAAGTCTCTAAATATGCATTAGTCCATACCAGTATAAACAGATAATTTAATAAATAGGAAAGAAGAAACAACTACTTGCAGAAAAGTAGTATTAATATATGTAGAAAGAATGAACAAAATATAAGATCATCTTTAAAATGCTGTTTCAGAAAAATCAATAGAGTAATACAAAAATAAGTCAGTGTTTAAGAAGAATCAAGATACTTGTACAGCTACAAAGTATTTTCCTCCAAAATATATTAATTAAAAGGGAAAACTTACCGTACAGGGAGTAGACTCTGTAGAAAGTCAAAAAGTCCATAAAAGTCATTCGCATGAACAAACTATGTATATTCTCAAGTTTATTCAAGCAAGTCTAGGAAAAAGGTGAATTTACATTTAATATGAAGCTGGGGCAGAGGGCCTGTGAATAAGAGAGTAGATTAAATGAGCATGATGTGCTTCATTCATAGGTGAGGGTCCACATTGCTTAACAGGGAGAACTGGCTCCTCCGTGGGATTCCCTTCCCTAGAAAGAGGATGAAGAAGAGACCTTCATCTTTACACACTTTGAAAGATGTGTGACAGCCTCCTCGAAGTCCATTAATGGTTTTTTAACAAGAGGCATTCCCATTTTCCTTCCATACTTTCTTCTAATAAGAAAATGTATAGGGCATTTCACAGGTAATAAATAAATTTCCAGCTGAGACCATGAAGAACACGCCAGTCACCTACAGCCATTCCTTACTGTCTAGGTGTAGGTCTTACACTCACATCCTATTAACTCTGGAAACAAATTACTGCAGTTTCTGTCCCAAAAGAAATGTTTTAAAGCCTGTAATATCATTGAATCTTTCCAGTAAAAAGTTAAAATGAAACTAACAATTATGTGAGTTACATGTGGATAAAATAGAAGTATCCCAGAAGCAGAGAAGAGTGAGAAACAGTAATTTAAACAAACCAAAAAAAAAATAATAATAATAATTTGCCTATTGTTTTATAAATGTTAGCTTTGACCACATTAATAGGGAACACTGCTTTCACTGTCAAAGTCAGCATGTATACAATCCATGTAAATTTTTGCAGCATTAAATTGCATTTTGGTTTTGGTTTTTTTGTGTGTGTTTTTTGGTTTTTCGTTTTTGGTTTTTTTTGTTTGGGTTTTTTTTTTTTTTTTTTTTTTTTTTTTTTTTT